GGGCAGGTTGTTGAGGTGTCAGGAATCGGGCTCGGGGGGTTGGTTGGTGAGCGTGTTATTCTGCTGGACCTTTCAAATGGGTTTTGTGGGCTACTTGTCGCCTCAAATACCTCAGTACTACGATGGGGTGGGTTGAAAGGGGGTGCTTGATTCAATTGTAAAATAAGTTTATCGCTTCTTGTAAATGGTTTTCTGCCTGACATACCTGACTATGATGCATTATTGGGTAGTTTAGCGGGGGGGTGAATTAGGTAATATCTGTTCAGGGTTGGTTATACCTTTATAAATGTGGCCAGGTAGGCCATATATATATATATATATATATAAAACAATTGTAAATATTCTAGTTATGATCCAGAGTGTGAGCGATTTCTTGAAATTATGATGCTGTATCTCAGTTTTTTTCTGTTTTGCTCAATAAATATAAGAAAAAAATGTAAAAAAAGAAAAATTATTACTCATCCCCAAAAAGTTCTCTAAATTTCTGCTGTATCCTCTGTCTGAAAGCCATTTTTTTTACCATAGAAGTGGTTAATAACGACAAGGGTATTTTCACAATTAAATTCTTCACAATTTTCGATTTTTGGGACTGTTTAAATCTCTTAATTAACAATCTTTGACGTTTACCACGGTTCCTTCGTGGCATAGTGAAAAATAATCAAAAATAATAATGATGATACCTGAATGAATTATGCTGTGGATGTTGCTAACCAGCCTGATAGCAGTTTTATCCGCACAAGCACATGGTTCACAGCATCAGCGCATGATACAAAATATGTTTTCGAAAAGAATATTATGTTATGGTAGTTTCCACCAGCCTGATGGCAGTTTTACCCGCACAAGCACATGGTTTTCACCGCCATTGCATAATATTTAAAAAATGAGTTTGTGTTTGAGAGTGGAAAATATCAGCTTGATGTGTGCACAGACTTTTGCTAACTATTAACTCTGAAAGTTGAATAGGTAGCCCGTCTATATCAGTACAAACCTATAATATTTTATCACTCTTTCGCAGTTCCTCAATTCCCTAATTTCCCAAAAAAAAATTTATGTTTTATTAACTATTATATGAATTGAGCATCTACTATTCCACGTTATTGAGCAGGAAAAAAAAATGAATAATAATAAAAGAACTGATATTTTTCTATGCTATTTTACTTAGGTCCATTATGAAGAATGGAGCCTCAGGATTCGAGACAAGGCGCCTCCACCATGTGTCACGACCATTGGGGCCTTCCTCCCCGGCTGCGTGATCTTAGGGGTTATGCTTGGCAGCAAGAGGGTGTCCTAACTACCACACTCTCGTAACTCAATTGTGGCAAGGAAAGAGTGCATGTTTTGTTTAACATAAATTCAAGTTTTATTGAACGATCAAAAACCAGTGAACAAGTGAGCAACATAAAAAAAGGTTAAGTGAGACAAAAAAAGTTACGTGAAGTGACTAAATTAAAGTGACCCTATAGCTACACCTTCTAGTGAAATCCTACATCTCTGGATCTAACTACCAACGTGATTGGAGACAATAACAGGGGCTGTACAAGGTAATGAAACAGTTTTTGGTTGAAAAATGTACTTACATTGTCCATACAATAATCGCTGCTCCGGCAGGGGAGGAGATGTGTGTCATGGCGTTGACGTCTACTCACTCACTAGTGTGGTTACCCAAAAAAAGAAGCCGTACTCGTAATCAACGTCGTACCGTGTCTGATTGTTCGATTGTCTGATTGTGATTATCCGGAAAATCTATACTTCAATTGTTTTATAGGCGATACTTGCCGAGTTAGCAGAATCAGCAATAATCGTACCTATCGAGTTCATTACCTCATAGGTGAACTTTCAAGTCCGATGAATTCTGCCGGAAAAGCTTACTAGGTTCCTGTCTGTGAAATTTGAACCGGGTTTGAATTACATATGTTATGTGAATGACTTTGGATATTATCTACTGAGGACTTTGATTTTCTTATGGATATTTCTTAATAAATTGATTGAATGGTTCCTTTGGTATACCAGGTGTGACACTATATTGAATCATATGAGAATTTTTGGAGCAGAAGCTTATTTATTCATCCCCAAACAATTCAGATTCAAATTTTTCCACAAGTCCACAAAACAAGTGCTGGTTGGTTATGATGGAAACAGCACAAATCACAGAGTGCATAACCCAATAACAAGAAGAGTCACAGTTTCTGCTAATGTGATCTTTAATGAAAATTTTGCACGAGATTCTAATACTGGAAATAACCACATTTTATTCGAACCTAACAATCAAGATGAAATAAGAGAGGAAATAGAAAATCAGGAAGAAGAGGAAAATACTTCTACACAGGAAGTTTTTTACCAAGAAGAAGAAGTCAAGATCCAAGGAAATGAACAGAAATCACCAACAGTAGGAACAAGCCGAAGTCTTCGAGATCGTAAGAATATTCATAGACCTAGAAGATATTCGGACGATCAAGCAATTGCATGTTCAGCAATAGTTGATGAACCCACAACTCATGATGAGGCTATCTCATGTGACCAGAAGGAATATTGGAAAGCCGCAATAAAGGAAGAAATCGATTCCTTGAAGAAAAATAACACCTGGATAATACAAGAATTACCACAAAATCGTAAGAGTATACCATGCAAATGGGTTTTCAAAATCAAGTATAAACCAGATAGTTCTATATACAGATATTAGGCTAGATTAGTAGCTAAGGGCTACTCACAAACAGCTGGGTTGGATTATAATGAAACATTCGCCCCAGTTGTTAGGTATGATTCAATTCGAACACTCTTTGCAATTGCATCTATGAAGAAGATGAACATCAGCCAGTTCGATGTGAAAACCGCCTTCCTGTATGGAGATTCGCATGAAGAAATATTTATGGACATACCAGAAGGCTTAATAACAGAAAATTCCAATTTGGTATGTAAGGTACAAAAGAGTTTATATGGTTTGAAACAATCGCCCCGTAACTGGAATGAAACATTTGTTGGATTCTTGAAAACTTTCAAGTTCCATCAACTTGAATCGGACAGATGTGTTTTCTATGCAGAATTTCAGTCAGAAGAAGTTTATTTGGCATTATATGTCGATGACGGTCTCCTATTCTGCAGATCTACAAGTTTAATCGACAGAATATTGCAAGAGCTTGGATCCAGATTTGAAATAACAATTTGCAAACCAGAAGTTTTCATTGGAATAGAAATTTCGAGAACTAGTGAAGGTCAAATTTTCATTAATCAACCGAATTACGTCATGAAAATTCTGAAGAAGTTCAACATGCAAGATTGCAAACCGTGTGCAGTACCTGCAGATCCAAATAACAACTTGCAACTTGATATGTGTCCTAAAAATGATGAAGAAAAATCAAGAATGAGAGAAACTATTTATCGAGAAGTCGTAGGTAGTTTAATTTTCCTCGCAATTGTGTCACGTCCAGACATAATGTTTGCAGTTAGTCAAGTCAGTAAATTTTTGGCTAATCCTGGTATTGCTCATTGGACGGCTGTGAAACGCATATTGCGATATCTACAAGGGACAAAGAACTTAGGCATCATGTACTCTGGAGAAGAAACGAAACTGACAGCTTTTTCCGATGCAGATTTCGCTGGGGATTTGGATACACGACGCTCAACAAGTGGCTACATTAGCACACTGGCGGGTGGTCCTATCACTTGGGCTTCTCGTCAACAAAGATGTGTGTCACGGTCTACAACTGAATCAGAGTATGTAGCTGCTTCTGAAGCAGCTCAAGAAGTTGTTTGGCTGAGACAGTTTTTAATGGAATTGAATATTCCTATGGATCATCCTACAATATTGATGGTTGATAATCAGAGCACAATACGTTTGGTGAGGAATGCTGATCAACATCATCGACGTACCAAGCATATAGATGTGAAGTATTACTACATCAGAGAATTGGTCGAAAATGGTTCATTGATGATTTCATACATCCCCACAGAAGAACAATCTGCAGATATATTCACGAAAGCAGTTCCAAAAGAAACATTCCTGAGAATTTTGAAAATCATAGGTGTTCAATTCCCATCAGTCATAAAGAGTGGGAGTGTTGAATGAAATGAGGTTTTATCTCAGATGTGAATTATATTATTATGTGATCCTGTATGTTGTGGTTGAGTATCTATGGAAGTTTAGTTGTTATAATGAATATTATCTTGAAAAGTTCTTCTGAATTTTCTTCTCTGGATTACTTAATATCACAAAAATTATTATTATTATTACTTCGTTCATAAATTGTATCTCAGATGAGAGAGTCTCATATTTCAATTCGAATTGATTTTTGAATAATGATAAAATTTTTCTCGTTGTTCTCCTTATTCCTAAAAAAGATAGATACCTACAGGATATTCAAAATTAGTTGTTTCAATACCTCCCCTCTTCTTCTTAGATTTCGACTGTGTGATCCATTCCTTGACTTCATTATTGCTAAAGTGGGTTTATATATTTGCTATTGCAAGTATATTCAGAATACTGAGTGACCAGTCTTTAAAATGATTCAGATCGTCATCCAATGGTGGACCTCCTTCTGTTCCTTGTTGATGTCGAAATATTTTCTTGTCTCTTTTCTTAGTTTCATATGTGCACCTCAGGAAGGTCTGATGGAAATAGAAAACAATTATTGAATATTTGCCTCCTACACCTGAGCTCCACCTGTTGCCATTCTTCTTTATTTTTCATCGCCACTTTTGCAGAATCCAATTCAGCACAGATTTTGTTGAATTCATTATCTGGTATTTTTCTGATAGCTTCAAATTCTTCCAAATAATATAAATATATTTCATATCGCTCTGCTCTAGTTCTTTTGTGTTCCTATGCAACAAGAAAACGATATGAATTTATGAAAAAATATTCATTCTGACCAAATAATATACTTTGATATCATATTAGGTACAAAATAGCTTAGGTACAATTATTCTGAAGATGAAAAAAAAAACTTGTTCCATTTCCAATAAAAGCCTTGTTCAGATGGACTGTTTCATATAAATCACAAAATCTATTCATACCTCTGGTCATTGTCTAAGGCCTTGGCAATTTCTGAGAGACGTTTTCTCTCACTTCTGTGCTCATCCTTATAAGCAGTAGGTGGAGGATTTTCACGAGTGTGTTTCTTAGATCTTTGTTTATTTGGAGCCTGTGCCTCATCATCTTCAACTTGTATTACGAAAACCTCCCCATTTTCAGACTGTGTAGCTTCATCTAGTGCAGTTTCAGGTCTCCCCTTCTCCATAGCTCCTGTTCTATACCAATTCTAACTTCCTGATTCCTATCTTCCATATCAACATCAATTTCCTGAAGTTCCAGACCTGTTGATGCTAGTGTACCAGTCAAGTCTGATATCTTTTGTATCAGTTGACACAATTCTTTATTCTTTCTTGCTCTCTTCTTACCTGCTTCTTTCCACTCACGAAACACCTTGGGCAAGGAGATCAGTGATTTTATACCATCCAATCATTAGAATTTTGCTCGCTCACCTTTTTTCACTTATGACTATCGCGAGTGGGGCCATCACTTGTAGCATTCAATTCGATAGTCATAATGTCCCACAGTTTCAGAATGGTTTTAGGATCATCATGAGGTCCCAATTCACCTGTTCTTAGTTTATCGTATTTTTCTATAAATCTCACGTATATTTGGAATTGTTTTTTTGACGTTCGTTTTTTTTATCCATTTTTATCTAGATCCTTATCCAAAATTCACCCTTCGAATTCGATGCTTCATATCAACTACCACAAATGCGATGTCAAAAAAAAACAGATTGTCACAATAGAGAAGTAAGGCGCCATAGTTGAATATTGGTGTTCCGTGGCTTTTGACGAAGCAACGTTGGATAAAAGTCATCATTGGAATGCGGGGTTACCAAAATAGGAATATATAGGAGTCGTTGGCACATTGTTAACATTGTTCAGAATTCAATGATCACCAGAAAAACCCTCATCAACTTCGAACTTGTGGTCTGTCAGGATGTTGAATTTCCTACCAATTAGGCAAAGCCTAAAATATTTGGTAGCCCAAACAGTCGTCAACAATTCTTTCTCAATGCGTACGCCAGTAGGAGATCTTCCCCGACGGGTTCTTGATTTGATATTGCACGAAGCATCATAACTTGCATCTGTTGTGAGATTGGATGATTTTGAAAAGTCGGAATACTGAAGAATAGTTCCATTATACAGAAGGTTTTTGCAATTTGCGAAACAGGATTTGGATTCTCCATCATGAATAGTTTTTGCACCTCTATTCAAGCATTTCCCAAAAAGCTCCGATTTGTTTGGGAGTACCAAGAATTGAGAATTTTTGTATTGCCTGGATTTCATCTGGGTTATGTTTTACACCATCAGGATTGACCATGTGACCTAGGTAGGCCACTTCTTTACGTAAAAACTCGGACATATCCATTTGGATTTCAATATTCGATTGTCTCAACCTTATGGGAGTGTTGCCCTATTTGTTGACACGAGAGATGGCGCCAAGTCTCACAAACTTTTCGAAAAAAAAATGGTGATATTTTGACTATCGAATCAAGATGAGAGACGATCCAAAATATGCTATTCATTATAATAACAGAACGAATTACTCATTCATTATAATAACAGAACGAATTACTCAAAATTAATATTCACTTCGAAAATATTGTATACATCAGTCTTCTAGAACATGGACTGACTTCGAGTTATGTCTTTTGTTCTTCCCAATAAGGTATGTCCAACGATGAGATACCTATGTTGAACAGATTCGAACATTCTCCTGTCGACCAAATTTTGCCAAAGACACGTAATGAACCAATTCTCATTCTGGCTGCTACAATTATTTGAAAAATCCATAAGCTTTAAGTGTTCGTACAGGATACTCTAAATTTTGTCACTGCCACTTATAGCTATGTTTTCCAACCACATACACATATAGCCTTCTCTAGTTCCACAGTCATGGATTCTTGAAGGATAAACCCAAGCTCGCCTTTCAAGTGCAGTCATATTCAGTGAGATATACTGCTCGCCAACAGCTATGGAATCACCCACATTAGGTTGAAAATCACTTTCAATTCAATCACTCACCAATCATATTTTCTTATCATTTTCAGAAGCACTTCCGTACGAGTATATTCTGAAATATCCCTTGCAGCTGAAAATTTTGAGATCCTGAAAGTGGGACGAAAATTAATTTTTCAGAACTGAAAATTTAGCAGAAAGAATATAAGGAGTTATCGAAGTAGATTTCCTGATTCTAAATTCGGACTAATTTTCAACTGCCTCCTACTGAAATTTCACCGAAATTTGGGTGGTTCCAGGGCTGTTGGCGAGCAGTGTATATAACTGAAGATGACCCTTCTTGATCATAGTGATGAATTTCGGTATACCTCTCACTCCAGCAGATTACAGGATGCAAACTCAACAATTACGTGGGATACATGGGTTTTCTTAACATGTGTCAAAGATCCAAGAGAATATTCCTTGAGTCAGAATAGGCAGGAAGTGTCATAACCGTTTGTCTGGAATCGCTTCGTTTCCAAGATTAAGTGTAGGTACTGATGTTTCTTTGGGATAAGTATAGAGTTCTGATAACCATCTGGAATACGTCATTTTCGAAAGAAATCAACTTGTAAATAGATAATTATGCACATTAAAATGAAGTGCATTGATTTTCTCAACGTGATGCTCAACATGGAAAACATTGTGATGAATTCTTGAAACCAATGTGGCATTTGAGTTCCTCTTTCAAATGTTTCAGACATATTAAAGTTTGCAAGATACGAAAAAAAAAATGGTAACCGAAAAAACAAAAAAGATGTTTGCTTCATTACGAATGATATAAAAATATAGCTTTCTGCAATTTTTCGCATAGAGAAGCAAGTTGACTGCTTCGTATCTGTCTGAAAGACACCCCAAAGCATCATTGACTGAATAACAAAAAATTCTATGGAATCGGCAAAAGAGAAAGTATATGAAAATTCCATTCTTGAAGAATCCCATATACCTTGAGGAAAGAAAGCGATTGTGACCATATGTTTATGAAACATTTCTTGAAATTCTTACCCATAGCATATCTCATCGAAGGTTTTTTTTTACAGTTCATTTCATGATGTTCACAGTTTTCATTACAGTGATAATATATTTTTTCAATATCTTTTGTTCAATATCTGATTCTGAAAAAGTAGAAACGCCGTCGATTTCAATGACATTAGCAGAACTGTGAGTCAGTTGGAGTAATCTATGTGTGGGAGAGGATTCTACAGGAGGAGTTTCAGTATAATTCAAGGTTTCGAAGTTGTCAGCAAGTATACAATAATACGATTATGATTTCAAGTTACTAGGTACATCTGTCATTTCAATAATATTTGTGATTTAGTGAAGTACCTACTGAACGAATTTATCTTGGGCCAGATTATGAATTCAACGGACTCATTGCTGTCTTGTTACGCTATCTGATAATGATTCCATGGCTTTGGTATACAAATTGGGATTCGAAGATTATGAGATGATGACTAGAATGATTGAAATATCTTGATGATTTTCGAATCTCTCACCTATTAAACTCTCCTTTTATTTTGGCAGTTGTTTTTGGTACTTTTCAAGTTCAGCGTCTGAATTTTCTGATTCATCTGACTCATCAATTTCGAACGCTGGATCTGATTTATCATTTTTCTCTTTCGTATCTTCTTCATATCTCACCGAAGATCTCCTTTGTTACTTTAAGATTTCCTTTGGTTTGTTATTAACCTCCAAACGCATATATTCCCTGAGAGCTGGCTCTAATTACCTGCAGCGGAAATGAAAACTCTTGGCGTAATCACGATATCTTCCATTATATCAGGCTGACGGTGAAAAGATTGATGTATTTTTCCAGAATGTCCTATGATTTTCATCACATGTTCTTGTTCAGCTCGACCGTGAGATGATTATGTGGTTTTGTTACTAAGTTTCGCCTGATGTTGGTAGCATGTAACCTTTCTGGATGATGAACCGCGGCATTTGTAGCAAATTTCCCGAAAACCACTTCTGCATTCAAAAATTTGAATGGTTTCTTGCCAGGCAAACCAGAAACTTACGGATTTGTATTGCTCATTCCTACTAGTTCGCGATAATTCAAAATGCACTTCATACAACGCACTTCTCCTTTATCTGAAACCGAGTTAACCTTTTGAAATACATCTGATATAATCAATCTCAGAGTTTGTGCTTTCAGCGAATACATCTGGATGGTCACCAGCAGTTTGTGATGATTTCATGGAGTCGGTTATCACGTTGTAGCACACCCGGCCTTCTTTCATTATATACCATAACTGATTCTTTTGTCTAGCCTGATGAAGTTTTTCAAGTATCAAGAGGATATGTTATTCAATTTGCTTATATGATTAATCTTCTAGAGAACGCAAATATTTCATCAATATTGCCATATCTGGAGAAAATGACAGAACTATCTCTTCAGATCGCCTGATGGTTGTCAGATTTTTGACAACTGTTTTGTTTATACCATTCGTCAATTCAGTTTTGAGGAGTTTCAGGAAATTATCCACTTTCGTTATTCTTTCGTTACTCTGATTCTTTATATAATCCGACTCAAAACTAGCACAAAAAAAATTCAGAATTGTTTCCGGAGCCGAAACAGAAATAGATGCACTAAAGTCTCTTTTTTCTGGGTCGTGTTCAGCGACTATTCGTATGGCACCAAACGAATCATTGTAGTGGCATGGAGAATAGCATGACTTGAAATCTGTGATTGTGGTCGATAGTTTCCTGATTTCAATAAGATATTTTTCTATATACCTTAGATTTGCTTTCATCATTTCATGGTGGTGAAATCAGATTCATTTTTGAATTGATTTATCATTATATGAATTGCTAGAAAATCTTTCCTCAATACTTTCGTACACAAATCATTAGTCAGAAATGGAGCAACGTACTCTATCAAACCTGGATCTGCAATTTTGTGGGGGTCAAATGTCACTTTTTTGCTTCCCACGTGTGTTTTTCTTTTCGAAGAATCGGATTCATCACATCTTCTAACATGCCTCCTCACAAAAACTTCAGAAATGCGAACAAGATGAATAGGGCGATGCCTATAGTCAGGTGGGCACTGTTTGTTGAAAGGACTACTTCTCAGTGCGAAGCTGACTTTTGTCTCAGCTCTGATTTCTTTTTATATGAAATTATAGTTAAGACATTTACTAAATTTTTATGCACAGATGTTATTTGGCGACCATGCATGTACCCACTTTTCCACAAAATAGGCAATATTATTGTTTTGATTTTTATTTCTTTCTTTGTACTGGTGGAATTGTAACCATATGAATTATATTGATATTTTCATTTGATAATTGATCAGTAGGATTGATATGGTGTGCTTCCAAATGTGTTTGTTCAAATTTCGAAATATCATTGAAATGAATATCACACTGCAACTCATCCCAAGTTATTAGATCTGACGTAGGCGCAACTGATGAAGGGTCAGACTTGTCAGCGGTCTCAAGGTTTTCGGCTGAAAACAACTCTTGAAGTGCTTCCAATGTATGGTCTCCATATGAGTCTTTCGTGGATTGAAACCCTATCATGAAATAATCTCAAATGTCATTCTTGAGTTCGGCTTCTTCAGGTTCAGGTATTTTTCAAGATTCTCTAGCGGTGGAAGATCATTAGAATTCGGCCCATCATGCCTGGATATTATTGTTGAAAAATAAAAATCAGCTATAATGGGAAATCGATTCATTGCGATCCTCAATAGATTAAAATGTTCTTTGGCAAGTTTTATTCCTTATGTTGACATGAGTTCCTCTTTTGTCCGGGGATAAAGAAATGGAGAAGTAGTTGTTTCTTCGACTCTTATAGACCATCAACTGCAACGAATTCCTCTTTGCAAATTCTTTCTCCAATTACTTCAACTTTGTCAAAATAATTCACATTGAATTTTCTAGGAGAAACTTATTTTTTGAACTTTTTTCAGTTTCAAGTTATTTTTTTGAGTTGGTACTGCTTTCATCAAAGGAAACAGGTGGATGTTCTGCTTATTATAGTCAGCTAGATTTCAATATGCATTGAATATCTCACTTCCTGTTTCGAGTAATAGTTGGCGGCATCGTTTTTTTCATTTACATGGTTGTCTTATTTTGCGAGCTCCACTTCTTTTCCTCGCGAACTCACAAAGCAGTGAGCAGGGTTTCGTTTCGTTTTCCTTTCATTTTTGTATGTCCCTATTCTGAAGGAGTTCTTTATTCTGGTGTCGATATTGGTCCTCTAGCAGTTGACGGAATTTTATTGACCGCCCGTAGTGAAACAATTTGATTATCTGTACGAACTGTTGAACTTCTCCTTTGGGCTTGGTGCGTTTCCTTGAATGAAATAAAAACGAATTATTTCCGAGCTAACAATGGTACAAGCTAACACCAAGAAATATTCATGTTGAACAAAACAAAACAAAAAACAATATTTGTTCGATAATATTGCTGGCGACATCCTCAACTTGCTATGGTTTTCTCAGAAACTGATAAAATAGTAAAGAATACAGGAACAAATTCACAAAATATGAACCATACTTTTTTGGTTGAAAAGGCTTGCATGCAATATAAAATTCCAACTTTCATTTTCAGAGTCATCTGATGAAGATCCCGTCTCCTATTCACTTCATTCATAATCTGTATCCTTCAAACTATAGTCAAAACCAAAATCATTGAATGATTCTTCATCAAAAGAGTGAAAAAAAAAACGATTTGCGTTTGACAACGCTATCTCTGATGTTGGCCATGTTGTTTTTTTGCTGTGGCTCGTACCGTTATTGTTGTGAATATTTGTAAGAAATTAGTAGAATCAAAAAGATTGAGTTGGGATCATGACACCATCTTTGGACGAATGCAGTCAATCTCTGCAGTAGAGTCGAAGACAGATGTCTGCATTCTTGTTGGCTCGAGGACTCCAAATGTTCCTTAGTTCTTCTTCGTCATTAACATTATTTGCGTGAACTGAGTTTTCAACGTATCCCCAAAGAAAAATATCCAGCGATGTCCAATAAGGCAATTTTGCTGGCCAAAGGACAGTAGAATGAGTTCAATTATCCAAGTTATTCGTATAAGAATCAATTCAATAGTAACGAGAGACGTGTTTGCATCTCAGAGATTTAAACACGTGTTGGCTGTATGCACTATCAATTTCATTGATATTTTCGTTGAGCAGCGCTTTCATAAGGGCACGAGGAATGTTTCATTTGGAAAACCCCTTGATGCATATACAGTGTGTCCCTAGACCAGTGCGGGACAGTTGAATATCTCCTGGATCAATAGGAATTTTCGAAATATTATAATTCCACATCATATCGCATCATGAGTGCTAACTTCAGGAATGACTAAATTTTATACGAGGGGCGCAAGAAAGGCTCACAAAATCGAACATCAATTTTTTCAAATGGGACACCCCATATATTTCAACATATCTGAATTCTCATTTCTTTAGGCTAATTATCCGTTTTTCATCTTTGAGAACCCGACAAGGCGTTGCCAAGTTATACCAGTATTTCATGAAATCGTCGCGTTATAATAACAGAGTTCTATCTGGCTCAGAGATCATTTGAAGAAATCGCTAGTTGAATATTTGATTTCATGTGGTTTTACTACTTTAGGCTCAAATCTAAAACAACTTTAACACAAATTTAGTGGTTGATACCCTTACAGATCAATACATTTTTATTCAGCATTCATGCATATACACCTTTGTTATCTAACTTAACGTACTTGAATTCATTTAACAAGGTTCTATGTGGCAGATAAACCCATGTATTCTCAAACTGATGCCTATTAGCTCTCGGGATGAGATAACAAGGTTGTTAGTGCCACATAGAACTTTGTTATTCGAATTGAAAAAAACATTCAGGGTTGAGTCTTTGATAAAAACCTTTCTTTATTGATAATTCGAAAATATTTACAGTTTTAAATCAATTCAGGTGCACTGTTGAACAATACATGATCAGGTTTTTTTCACTTCAGGGTATTCAAAAATGATGCAAAATACTTTTTGTTCAAGTCTGGCATACAACCTGTCATCATTTTCTTGATAGCCCTAATCTTATCTTCTGGAAGGCTATTTTTTGAACACAAAATCTCTGGTTTCAATGTCAGTATCAATGATTTCGAAATTGCTGTTAGGTTTTCCGGGTTTTGAGAATTCTTATTTCGCCGTGCTGTAGCTCTATCGGGTTTGAGGGTTTCCCTTATGAAGTCGTCAGCATGATTCAGTTTGTATTCAATTTCTGAAAGGCTTTGAGTGAACCTCAATGAAGCAACTTTAGAAAACGGGATTTTATTGAATGACAGTTTTTTGGAGCAAGACTCAAAATCTTTAAAATCTTCATTTTTCATTTGTAAAATACAATATGGTTTCTTTGTATTCACCGATTTAAATTTTTTTATAAAACTCAAAGGCGAGTAAAATTCTGTTTCATTCATATATCTTTCAATATTGCTGTGTGCATTATCAACTTCTTGAATAGCACCATGTCCCGGTACAGAATATTTCATAGTGACACTCTCCAACTCAGGATGATCTCTCATTGCATCAATTATAGCAAACGGGATTTTATTGAATGACAGTTTTTTGGAGCAAGACTCAAAATCTTTAAAATCTTCATTTTTCATTTGTAAAATACAATATGGTTTCTTTGTATTCACCGATATAAAATTTTTTATAAAACTCAAAGGCGAGTAAAATTCTGTTTTATTCATATATCTTTCAATATTGCTGTGTGCATTATCAACTTCTTGAATAGCACCATGTCCCGGTACAGAATATTTCATAGTGACACTCTCCAACTCAGGATGATCTCTCATTGCATCAATAATAGCAAATGAGATGAAATAATTTCGATTTTGAGAAACACATGAATCACTCCATGTTACCAAATCTGTTATGTTATTATCTTCTAAAACTTTTTGGTCTCATTCCAGATAGCACAATAGATTTGCCCAGTGGTTGAAAAATGCCCTGTGAGATTGTAAATACTTAATTTCTGAGAATAAAAAAAGTCACCCAGTTTAGAACGAGGACAAAATATGACATTTTCCAAATCAAAACACAATGTGGGGACTTTACTTTCTCTGTCCTTGTTCCTTTCTGCTAAGGTGTTCTCTTCATTTTTGATTTTGAATGATTCGCATCTTATACCTCTGTCCTGTTCTGGGACGTGAAAACCATAATTGAACTCGGTAGTGAAAATGTGTCGATAATATGATAATTTGGCCGCAGTAGTGTCATTATCATGACACCACTTTGTATAAAGACCATACATTTTCGCTACACTCAAATTCGCTTCCAAATATTTCCTTTTTGTATTCTGTCTGCAATAATGGGAGTCTATAACAGGAAAACTTTTTATGTGGGTCATTATTTCTTCCTTTTTCGCGCTTTCTTCACTTTGCTTTCCTCTATTATCTTTTTTTATTTCATTAGGTTCTAGGTGAGCAGTGTACACAGGTTTTTGGGATATATCGAAAGTTCCCAGAAAGTATTTTTTGCATACTCGAATGTCTCCTCCCTTAACTTGGATAAAATAAGTGAATGAATAACATCTCCGAGAAACGTTATCGCCAGTTGTTTTTCGGCCCTTCATAGCTTTTTTTGTGGTGTTTCTCAAAAACAAGTATTTTTCATTTTGAGTTGAAGACCAGTAAGAGTTGAAAGCCTGTTTCCTTTCATCTTGGGATATTTGTTTTGCACAATTGAATTTACAGTTCTGTAAACAATTCTTTTTGTTCTGTAAGCTTCTTGCCTTCACTACTTTTCCTCTTACATTCACATATTGTTCACCTGACTGACATTTCTTTTTTCTCACATTGAGTTTCCATTCAGCTGGCTTCAGCTTACGCTTTCGTGGTTTTTGTTTGCTTCCTTCTATGTCCTCCTGTGGTTGGTCTTCTTCTTCATTCTTCTGTGTTTCAGTCAGAACAATAATAGGTTGCTCTTTCCATTCGTTCTGTATTGTCTCATGGAGATCATGAATATTATTTATGACATTTCCCAAATCATCAATAATTTCAATCATTTCGAAATTTACTGCTGTAGGATTTTCTTCATCAATATTTTTTTCATTGGAAACTGTTGACGTTTTCTTATTGGAACTAAAAAAAAACAAGAAAGAAGATAAATAAACTCACGTATTTCCAAGAATGCTAAAATTTTATGAATCATAGAGGTAGTTCCATGGACATGGTAGTTCAATCATTGGAACATGTTATCTGAAGCTTGAGCATAACTCTAGAAAAAAAAAACACATTCACTAGTCACAATAGAATGATTTGCTTTTATAGAACAAGTCAGGCGATTGAATTCCTTGTTTTGTTTATCAACTTACTTCTGAATGATTTGAGGCTCATATTCTTCTTGTGTAGATATGCTTGATGGGATCGAGGTTTCTGAATTACAATTATTTGGCAATCCAGATTCAGTTTTATCATTGGAACATGTTATCTGAAGCTTGAGATTCTCTTCGGGATTTTCCGTTCGCATAACTCTAGGAAAAAAAACACACTCACTTACTAGTCACAATAGAATGATTCGCTTTGATAGAACAAGTCAGGTAATTGAATTCCTTTTTTTTTGTTTATCAATAACTTACTTATGAATGATTTGAGGCTCATATTCTTCTTGTGTAGATATGCTTGATGGGATGGAGGTTTCTGAATTACAATTATTTGGCAATCAAGATTCAGTTTTATCTTCATCTATACATGAAGAACTCATTGCTAGAAAACGCGCGAATTTATTATCGAAGATAAAAATATGACCAAGTCGTCTTATCTCACCTTTTTGCAATATTTTAGAAGTTCGCGATTTCATTCCTGAGAGTTTTGAAAATCCAATGCTTTTGAACATCGTGCTTTTAATATAGGTAACTTTTTCAACTCTGAAATGATGAAAAAACTGGTCGACCAAAGCGTAAACAAACGAACTGAAAATTTCAGGTTATACCGACCAAGAACAGTTTCGATAACAGAGTTCTATCTGCATACAGATAATACCATGTTATACTGAGATTGCAGATAGAACTGTGTAATATTGAAATCGTGATTTGGAAGTGAGTAGATAGAACTCTGTAATGATGATATTTCAGATAATAACGCACAGATGGTACTAGTATTACTGAAATAGTTAAAATGAAGCAGATAGAACCATATTGCACTAAAATCTCTATTTTGGTAAAAAAATGCAGATAGAACCTTTTTATTCCAACGCGACGAAATGCAGACATTTTTTTATAGACAAACCCATTATTCATACTACTAAGAATTTATGGAATCATTCAAGACTGTTGGTAGTCGGTGGCATATTCTATCATATGAAGTACCCATCTTCTTCGGAAGTTATACAGGGTGGTCAGAAATATTATATGATTTTCACGAAATTAAAACTTTCTTCACATCAATTTTTGAAATGGTGCACCCTACAATATGTATGAGTTTATATCCCATTGGTGGTCTGATTGCTCATGGTCAATAGTTGTGAAATAGAGATGTGAATTGCATCATCAGAAAATGCAAATAAAAAAAATGCAGTGACCTTTTTATTCAACTGTACTTAAATACTAAAAAAAAAACAGTCCCAACAAGAAAAAACTGACTTGACGAATAATCAGGCACAATAATTTCACAAACCCTCAAAATTCGATTTTGCAAATTCTCCAGATTCGATGGTTGAGTAAAATAGACCTCTAATTGTAGATACCACTACAAGAAGAAGTCTAAGGGGGTCAAGTCTGGCGAACGAGCCGGCCATTTCATTGGTCCGTTTGTTCCGAGCCATCTTTGAGGAAAAAGAGCGTTCAATTGGTCTGTCACGATCCCAGCGTTATGAGGCGGCGCTGCATCTTGCTGGAAGAACATTTCTCTGAGGTGTCCAAGGGGGACCTCATCAAGATGATTACTGAACTCATTTTGAAGGAAACGAAGGTATATTTCACTATTCAGAGTACCTTGATGAAAATATGGTCCAATCAAATTATTCTTGAAAATTCCACACCAAACGTTTACTCCCCAAACCTCCTGAAAATTGGTTTTTCGAACCTAATGCGGATTTTCTGCAGCCCAGTAATGTACATTATGACGATTCACTTTCCCATTATTGTGGAAGCGGGATTCATCAGACCACATAATTTTTGACACAAAATCACCATCATCATGGATTCTTACCATCATCTCAGAAATGAAATCTATCCGCTTATCATAGTCAGTTGGTTATAAAGCTTGAACTTAATTTAATCTGAATGGATGTTGTCTATGGGTCTTCAAAATCCTATGTACGGAACTCTTCGAGATACCTGATTCCTCAGCAACTCCTCGTACCGATGATTGGGGATTTTGGTGTATGTATGCTAAAATGTTAACCGACATATCATCATTCACGAATACCTTAGAATGTCCTGGTTGTTTGTTCGATTGGTAATTTCAGATCGTTTCGCAGTTTAGCCTCAAGTCTAATGAAGGTATTTTTTCCTGGTTGATCTGGGTAACGTTGACTGTACAATACACAAGCTCTGCGGGAGATTTTTCTCGCTTCGCAAAATATGAGCAACATGTCAACACATTCATCTGGTGAAAATAACTGTGGCATTTCCATATTCTTCCACAATTAACGGGGAACAAACTAAACCCGTCTTAAGGAACTTTGAACAATCAAACTACTTTATTGGATATGATCTCGAGGAACACAATAATTATTTATGCACTAATGTATTTTTATTGACTCAGCGAATGTAATATAACTGACATGACTCCAATTGTCCAATGTCACCCCGGAGTGCTTGATATTATCGTGCCTAGATATTCGAAAAGAAGATGGTTTCTTGTAGGGACTCTTACGTAGTTAATTACACTAGAATACGTAATTTGATGATTTTTCTTTGTATTTGCTGATGATGAAATTCACATCTCTTTTTCACAACTATTGACCATAAGCAATCAAACCACCAATGGGATATGAAATTATACATATTGTTGGGTGCACTATTTGAAAAATTGATGTGAAGAAAGTTTTAATTTCGTGAAAATCTTATAATATTTCTGACCACCTTGTATAACTTCCGAAGAAGATGATATTTCATATGAAAGAATATGCTACCGACTACCAAAAGTCTTGAATGATTCCATAAATTCTCAGTGGTATGAATGATGGGTTTGTCTAAAAAAATGTCTGCATTTCATGGAATACTGGTATAACTTGGCAACGCCTTGTCGGATTTTCAAAAATGAAAAACTGATAATTAGCCTGAAGGGATGAGAATTCAGAAATGTTGAAATATATGGGGTGTCCTATTTGAAAAAACTGATGTTCGATTTTGTGAGCCTTTCTTGCGCTCCTCGTATAAAATTTAGTCATTCCTGAAGTTAGCACTCATGATGCGACATGATGTGGAATTATAATATTTCGAAAATTCCTATTGGTTCAGAAGATATTCAACTGAGCCACTGGTCTAGGGACACACTGTATATACCATTTCTGTATATGAAATCTCAATGAGAAAAATGGAATGCGCTCTCAGGGCACAGGGCCCTTCATCCATTGAGAACCCGTTTTCTCATTCATAATTCGATTTTTCGACTATGGGCATTGACAACAATTTCACAACTAGTAGCATCAAAATGTTTCGACTCCAAAACTCTCAATTATGCTGAATATGGTCTTTCATGAATCCAAATCATGTCCATTATGATTGTGTAACAACACCATTAAAATTTGTGGAGATGACTTCGAACATTCCTTCCTCCCTTTGAAAGATTTCACTCAACTTTGAGCAATATGGTTTTCTACCAAAGATCAATAATTAGTAACAAGAAATTTGAAAATATGAAAAATCTCGTTTTTTCACATCTTATATAATTCACAATCGATGTCTCCAAACCCAAAGTGTGATAGATAGATGAAATCACCTCATAGGGGAGAATCTGTAACTACAACAAAATGCAGGTTGTCTGAAGTCAAAAAGTATAACTTTGACACGTCAAGCATTTCTGAGTCAACCTGTATGGAGCAAAATATTCCAGAAATATACTGCTCATGAGCTTAGACCATGTTTTTCATCTATCTGAGGAAGCGAAGCAGTTTTTTCACTTCCTCGTACTAATGGGCTACCCTATAGAGAGTGGCCCATTTGAAATCGAGCAACCCACAGCAATGTTTTTATTGATGTAGCGACTTTAACAAATTCTCCGTTTCAAATATAAAGGAAGTTGAAGTATATTCTGACGTCAAGCGACGTCCATTTTCCTCAAAAACCAAATTATACTAGATCACATATGTATTCAGGGGCTGAAAAATCCAGAATCCATTATTTTTATCGATGTTGAATATTTTTTCATGAAACTTGGTACATATTCATCTTCGGAGACGCCAAATTCAGTGGTGTACGCAGATTCACGAAAATCTCTAATATGGATTCTGAATTCTTCAGCCCCAGAAGATCTAGAAGGCCTTGGTTTTAGGAAAACAGTTGCCAACATTTGGCTCCAAAATACATGTTTCCCCTTCACCTCTCATTCTCTCAAGAAGAAAACGACCAAATTTCTTTATTGAGAAAATTCAGAGTGTTGGGATGAGGATGATTTGCTTTCGAATAGGTTAGATTAGATTAGATTGATATGGGGCTCATGTGCTACTAGGAGCCTCTCCACTGCGACCTTTACAGATCTATTGTGTGTGCCCTCATGTTATGTTAGAGTTCCTTGTCTAAACCCATCCTTATTACTAGACTCCATAGGCCAGACCTCAGGTCCTCCATATATTGAGAGGGCTGTGGTTTTTCCTCCCCTATCGTCGAAAACCTTAGCCTAGTCAGGCCTTCGCAGTAGCACAGTATGTGTGCTGAGGTTTCCTCATCTTCTTGGCAAAACCTGCATATGGTTGTGTCCGCCAATCCGATGTTGTTCATGTGTTTGTTGAGTCTACAGTGCCCTGTCAGGAGCCCAACCAAGATCCTTGTTGTTCTCCTATTCTGGCTTAGTAGGTACTCCGTGAATTTTGGCAATGGTTCTTTAATGAACTCTTTGGCCTGTCTCATTCCCGGCGCCTTGTTCCACCATTCTCGAGACTGCTTCTTCATCCAAGTGCTGTTATTTGTTCTTTGCAGCGCTTTCGCTATACCACAGAAAGGTTCTGGACCGATAGGAGCACATCTTGCTCCTTCTCGGGCTAGTGAGTCAGCCTCTTCGTTGCCCTTGTAGCCTGTGTGGCCTGGTACCCAGGCTAAGTACAGTCTGTTTTGACTGCCCAGCTCTTGTAGGGTTTCCAAGCAGTCCCAGACGAGTTTGGAATTGATCTGCATGGAGCTGATTGCTTTTATAGCCGCTTGGCTGTCGGAGTAAATGGCGATGGTCTTTTCCTTAAACTCTTGCCTTATTAACTCTCCTGCACACTGATGTATTGCTGCAACTTCTGCCTGGAATATCGTCACGTGTTTACCTAAGCTCAGTGAGACTCTTGTCTTTGGCTTGGCTATATATATTCCTGCTCCTACACCTTCATCGGTTTTTGAGCCGTCTGTATAACAGGCCATTTCTGCATCAATTGGAGGACCTCCCTTCCATGCCTCTCTGTCTGTTATAACAGTTTTAAATTGTTTACCGAAGCTATACTTGGGAAGCATCTCGTCCGATGGCATTCCCATTATCGGGTCGGTTTCCAACTC